CAATTGATATTTTAAAGTATATTGCTTAAAAAAACATATGGTTCTTTCAAGTAGCTCTGTCTGTCTGTCTGTCTGTCTGTCTGTCTGTCTGTCTGTCTGTCTGTCTGTTTCTTTCTGTCTTTCTACCTTGCTCATATATGCGTGGGTATCTGTCTATTGCCTCGTCTCTTGATTCATGATCTCTTTGTTGCGTTTCTTCGTTCTCTCCCCAACTTTATTTGTTTCGTTCTTCATCTCTTTCTTTTTTTTCTTTCTACCTTTCTTTCCCTCTTTCTTTCTTTCGTTGTGTTTTGTCCCCATCCCATTTACCACAATAGAAGAAACAACAACATAAATTTCAGATATACTGCCGCTTATTTATAATGGTGCATTTCTTTCAAGCACCTTCAAGTTCATGTGTTCATGATGCCCCTATGGCTGTAAGGTCCTCTTCAACTTGTCAACTGTGTTCAGTTTGTCTCTCAGTACAATCACACAAGGATTTTTCTACTAAGATAATAAATCCAGAATGCCATGTGATTCGATACCTAACGAGAGGGACACCGTGCGAGGTAGACCAAGACCAACAGGGAAAGATAACATCAAACTGCAGCGTGTCCTTTGAAGTATGTTGCTGAACCAACCCCAGCACCTTTTTTTTTCATTTCAATAGGCAATTGCGTTCAGTAATTTACCATTGCCACTAAACAGTTGGCTCTCGATCCTACAGTGAAACCAGCACAAGGCAAATCGTCAGCAGCTAGAATCGAAACCAGCGCCTCAGAACCACCAAGCGCCCTCACAACGCCTTAGCGACACACGCCTGCATAAACTCTGAGCAGCAGTTTAAGCGTCTATGGCTGAGTTAGCAAGAAGAGCCGAAACACCCACATTGCATCTCCCTTGACTTCTGAATGGGCAACTGAGGAAGTGAAAAGACAAGCGAAAGATATGGTTCTCAAAATATTTACTTTTTTCGGTCGACTTTTCTTTCAAAAATCTGTTGTTAGAAAAATAATATACCTACCTCATTATGTGCCATCTGTGAATTCTCTGGAGTATTACTGACTGTTTATGCCATTTTTGTCCTTAAAGTGCTAAATAATTATTCTACTTTCTTCTCTTAGGTCCTGTTGGGCCTCAAGGCCCTAAAGGTGAGTAAACTATGTGCACCGATATTTCTTTGTTGAAAGATACACTAGAGAATATTAACTATATGTAACAAAATATGCACCAATATTTCTTTGTTGAAAGATACACTAGAGAATATTAACTATATGTGACAAAATATGCACCAATATTTCTTTGTTGAAAGATACACTAGAGAATATTAACTATATGTGACAAAATATGCACCGATATTTCTTTGTTGAAATATACACTAGAGAATATTAACTATATGTGACAAAATATGCACCGATATTTCTTTGTTGAAAGATACACTAGAGAATATTAACTATATGTGACAAAATATGCACCAATATTTCTTTGTTGGAAGATACACTGGAGAAAGCTAACTTCATGTGACAATATATGCATTCATATTTCTTTGTTGAAAGATACACTATAGAAAGCTAACTACATGTGACAAAATATGCATTCATATTTCTTTGTTGAAAGATACACTATAGAAAGCTAACTACATGTGACAAAATATGCATTCATATTTCTTTGTTGAAAGATACACTATAGAAAGCTAACTACATGTGACAATATATGCATTCATATTTCTTTGTTGAAAGATACACTAGAGAAAGCTAACTACATGTGACAAAATAATGCACGGATATTTCTTTGTTGAAAGATACACTAGAGAATATTAACTATATGTGAAATTTGATAGGTCGCGAATAAAACGAGAAAAGATCAGTTAAGAATAAAGAGATTATATGAATTGTTGGAATAACGATACGAGAAACGATCAGTTAGGAATGAAAAGATAATAAGAATTGTTGGAATAATGATACGAGAAAAGATCAGTTAGGAATGAAGAGATTATAAGAATTGTTGGAAGAACTACCTATCGTTCAATTCAGTGTACAAACAAAGACTGAAATGGCTCGGCCTTCTGAACATAATGAAGCCACTGACGCCAGTAGCGAGAGCATACAACATAAAATTAATCTTCTTCTTCGCGTTCACCAGCTGTAAACTGTGGCGGAAAGTTTTTGTTGTTTATCCACTTCTGGCTGCAGTCCTGTTCCAGAACCTGAGTGTTGCGTGTCCATCTGTTTTACAGATTTGTCTCATTTGTATGTAGACTGATGCTTCCTTGCCTCTCAGGCAAATGCACTCCGACTTCAAAGAAAGCTTCTAATTAATCGACTCTTACGACATGCTCTTGGGTAGGCAGTGGGTCTATTCTTGTTTTCCCTATAATAGAGCCCCGGAACCTACACGGGGACAACATGAAATAGAAACGCCAAGAGAAATGGGGGGGGGGGGGGGGGGGGGGGGGGGGGGGTGGGGGGGGGGGGGGGGGGGGGGGGGGGGCTAGATAAAGATGTCTAAAAGGAGTCACATCCAGAAGCTTCATAACATCACAACACACCAAGTAACCGAGCTCCCCTGGCTCGGGTACCGATCATCCGTTAAACTGTGATGCCTAGCTCCAAAAAAGCAGGTATCAACAAAAGAAGACGTTATTATACACGCGTCGAAGCGTGTGGGTAAAGGCTATAATCGCTGCTCACTCTTTCCCTTGCCAAACCAGCTATATGTTACTAGCACTACGATACTAGCTGCGCACGCATACTCTCAACAGCTAAGCGGGGGGGGGGGGGGGAGGGGTTCACTTGACACACTATCCAGTGTAATCGATACCCGCTAATGCTCACACATGTGAAATTATCCCACCTCGCCACTAAGATACACTGATCTTTAGAAGAGGTTAGATCATTCCCTAGTTACTTTATACAGTAAGTGGCAAACCAAATCCAGAAATTTTTTTGCCGTTTATGGTTTCACTAGGTCCGCAGACCCAGTCTGGTCCACAAAGGTCTATCAAGTGGCCCGCGGATAACCTGCCAATTGTATTGTCCTAATGATCCTTCTATGCTGGGGCTCAGGCCCTGGCCTATAACAATCCCTGTTTTCCAACGTTTTCCAACAGTTTGACCCCTGAGTTAACTTAATCAAATGTTCTTCCACTAGGTCAGAGGTTCTCAACTTGCCGGACGAAAACCACTTTTTTGGGGGGTCGAACGACCCCTTTACAGGGGTCACATAAAACTATCGAAAAACAAATATTCATTGAAGTTATGAAGGTAAATAAATGTTTGGGGGTCGCCAGGACATGAGGGAACTGAATAAAAGGGTCGCGGTATTAAGAAGGTTGAGATCCACTGAACTAGGTAATGTTAGGCTCAGCAGTTTGTCAGAACTGAACGGTTGATTTTACTAGGTAATGTTAGGCTCAGCAGTTTGTCAGAACTGAATGGTTGAATTTACTAGGTAATGTTAGGCTCAGTAGTTTGTCAGAACTGAACGGTTGATTTTACTAGGTAATGTTAGGCTCAGGAGTTTGTCAGAACTGAACTGTTGATTTTACTAGATAATGTTAGTCTCAGCAGTTTGTCAGAAATGAACGGTTGATTTTACTAGGTAATGTTAGACTCAGCAGTTTGTCAGAACTAAACGGTTGATTTTACTAGGTAATGTTAGGCTTAGCAGTTTGTCAGAACTAAACGGTTGATTTTACTAGGTAATGTTAGACTCAGCAGTTTGTCAGGACTGAACTGTTGATTTTACTAGGTAATGTTAGGCTCAGCAGTTTGTCAGGACTGAACGGTTGATTTTACTAGGTAATGTTAGGCTCAGCAGTTTGTCAGAACTGAACTGTTGATTTTACTAGGTAATGTTAGGCTCAGCAGTTTGTCAGAACTGAACGGTTGATTTTACTAGGTAATGTTAGGCTCAGTAGTTTGTCAGAACTGAATGGTTGAATTTACTAGGTAATGTTAGGCTCAGTAGTTTGTCAGAACTGAACGGTTGATTTTACTAGGTAATGTTAGGCTCAGCAGTTTGTCAGAAATGAACGGTTGATTTTACTAGGTAATGTTAGGCTCAGCAGTTTGTCAGAACTGTACTGTTGATTCTACTAGGTAATGTTAGGCTCAGTAGTTTGTCAGATCTGAACGGTTTATTTCACTAGGTAATGTTAGGCTCAGCAGTTTGTCTGAACTGAACTGTTGATTTTACTAGGTAATGTAAGGCTCAGCAGTTTGTCAGAACTGAACTGTTGATTTTACTAGGTAATGTTAGGCTCAGCAGTTTGTCAGAACTGAATGGTTGAATTTACTAGGTAATGTTAGGCTCAGTAGTTTGTCAGAACTGAATGGTTGAATTTACTAGGTAATGTTAGGCTCAGTAGTTTGTCAGAACTGAATGGTTGAATTTACTAGGTAATGTTAGGCTCAGCAGTTTGTCAGAACTGAACGGTTGATTTTACTAGGTAATATTAGGCTCAGCAGTTTGTCAGAACTGAACTGTTGATTTTACTAGGTAATGTTAGGCTCAGTCATACTGCCAAAATGAATGGTTTATTTTACTAGGTAATGTTAGGCTCAGCAGTTTGTCAGAACTGAATGGTCGAATTTACTAGGTAATGTTAGGCTCAGTAGTTTGTCAGAACTGAATGGTTGAATTTACTAGGTAATGTTAGGCTCAGTCATACTGCCAAAATGAATGGTTTATTTTACTAGGTAATGTTAGGCTCAGCAGTTTGTCAGAACTGAATGGTCGAATTTACTAGGTAATATTAGGCTCAGCAGTGTGTCAGAACTGAACTGTTGATTTTACTAGGTAATGTAAGGCTCAGCAGTTTGTCAGAACTGAACGGTTGATTTTACTAGGTAATCTTAGGCTCAGCAGTTTGTCTGAACTGAACGGTTGATTTTACTAGGTAATGTTAGGCTCAGCAGTTTGTCTGAACTGAACGGTTGATTTTACTAGGTAATGTTAGGCTCAGCAGTTTGTCTGAACTGAACGGTTGATTTTACTAGGTAATGTTTGGCTCAGTCATACTGCCAAAATGAATGGTTGATTTTACTAGGTAATGTTAGGCTCAGTCATACTGCCAAAATAAACGGTTGATTTTACTAGGTAATGTAAGGCTGAGTCATACTGCCAAAATGAACGGGCTGCTTTCCATACCATGGTCACAGTCAACGAAAAGCCGTCTGTGGTCAAATATTTGCCTGCATCTGAATCGAACTTACTATTTCAGAATTACGAACTGAGCAGATTAAAAACGGTTACCACGCTGTAACACACTTTGTACGCTTATATTTGTCTTTGTAGATATGTAATATCGATCCCAGCTGCGGGCAACGCGCCTTGCGTTGGTTTCGACAGTGGTATCAAGCTAGCCGACCGTCCAGAGGGCAATGGCAAACTACTGGATGTAAATTGACTAGAGAAACCACACAACAACCAGGGGCTGTTAGGGTTGGTTCTGCAACGTCCTGTAAAGGATACGCAACTAACTAGATGTGTAATATCGTGTGCTTAACATATCATAATTATCATATCGTGTGCTTAAGGCATTATTTTTAACATCTGTCTTACACGTTGCTGACGATTATTATTATGAGGATGATTATTATAATAATTATTATTATTTTATGTAAAATGATATATGCCTATAATAATCTATGAAGGAATAAGCCAGAAGGGCAGAATGTAAGACAGGCCTGCGTGTCCAATTCTATGCCTTTAAAAAAAAGTTATCTCATTCGTTGGTTATTTCTGGACACTAAATAAATAAGCAGGCAATCTGTTGTGGCACTTTGTGTCACTGGGTGTTTATCGCTTGGCATGCGTCCTTGTTGTGTTGAACGTCACTCACTCAGGATCTGAGACACAAAATATGAGAATTTTCAGAATCAATAGAAAAAGTCATGTTCTGTCAGAGTAATTGGTTTCAATCTGTTTAACATAGGTAAAGACATAATTAATAAACAAGTGTGACATATATCAGGGATACAGTATGAACTCCGTGTACTTAACGTTAGAACATACAAATTAGAGGGAAATATAGGAAAACTGATGGTATGATGTGGGGTGCACGGTAAGATCCTGGTTTTAAAAAGAGATTCATAGCCAAGACTATCAAGACACCAGATAAGCGTTCTGGGCCTATGGATCGATCGGT